TATTTGTGAAAGTGGGGTATTGAAATCAGTCACCCTTATTGTGTCAGAGTTAACTGTGCGTTTATGTAGAGTAGTGTTTGTTTGAAGAAATCAAGTGCTCTGACATTTGGTGTATTTGTTATTTTTATATCCTCTTGATGAATTTCTCCCTTTATCAATGTGAAGTGACCTTCTCTGTCTCTTCTAACAAGTTTTGTTTTGATGTCTGCTTTCTCAGGTATGCATGTAACTAATCCTGTTCATTTTGGGGTTCCATTTGCTTGCAAAATCTTTTTCCTTCCTCTCACTTTGTCATTGAAGGGCATTTCCTATTGGTAATAAATGGTTGGGTCTTGTTTTTAATTCAACCCACAATTTGGTCTCTTTGGAAACGGGAGCTTATGAACATTCAGAGTTTTTGTTGAAAGATACATAGTAATTCCTGTCATTTTGGTGTTTCTGTAGTGTTTGGTCTATTCCTAATCCTCATTTGCTTATTAACTCATCTAGTGAGAATTCTGTTTCCCTTATTTTCCTGGTTGTGTTTATCTTCCTCTTCTTTGTGTAGGATTCCTTTACGTACTTTCTTCCATGCTAGCTTAGTGGTCACAGATTCCTTTAGTTTTGTTTATCATGGATGATTGTTATTTCTCCTTCAATTATGAAGAAGAGCTTTGTTGGATACAGTAATCTAAGTTGTCAGTTAATTCCTTTCAGGTCTTGAAATACATCATGGGCCATGCCCTCCTTTCTTTTCCAGTTTCTGTTGTGAAATCTTCTTATTTTGATGGGTTTGCCTTTATAGGTGATTTGGTGCTTTTCTCTTGTAGCTTATCTTGTACATTTAATTTTTTAACTATAATATGTCTTGGAGAGGCTCTTTTCTGGTCTTGTTTTTTGGGTGTTCTTAAAGCTTCTTGTCTCTTTCTCAAGAGGTGGGAATTTTCTCCTATTGCTTTTACTGAATATGTCTTCTCTTGCTTTAGCTTTCACCTCTTTTCCTTCTTTTTTTTTTTCTTTCTGGTGCTGGGGTTTGAGTTCAAGGCCTACAATTTGAGCTCCCCCCAGCCCTTTTTTGTGATTGGTTTTTTTCGAGGTAGGGTCTTGCAAAATGTTTGTCTGGGCTGACTTTGAACCTCAAGCCTCCTGATCTCTGTCTCCTGAGTAGCTAGGATTACAGGCATAAGCCACTGGTGCCCAGCTTCCTCTTTTTTCTATTCCCATGAATCATAGGGTTTTTTCTTTTAATGGTGTCCCAGAGGTTTTGCATGTTCATTCATATCTTTGTTATTTTCCTTTATCTTTATCTGACTGTTCTAATACATCTATATTGTCTTCAAGTCTTTATGTTATGAGATCAGTTTGATCCAGCCTACTGGAAAGGCTTGCAACTGGGATTTTTCTCTGACTTACTTGCTTTTCATTTCCAGAATTTTCAGTATGATATTTTTCAGGATTCTGTATTTTTCTTGAATTCCTCTTTAATATCCTGTATTATCTTCCTTACTTCATTTATATGTTTATTTCTATTCTCTTGGAATTCATTCAACTATTTATATTCTCTTTGAATGCACTCATGTGTTTATACATGTCATCTTTAGTTTCATTTGCTCATTATTATAATATATGAGTTCTTTGTGCTCTCATTTTCTTCATTATCTTAGTGCCACAGTGGTGCTGTTGGCTTTGGAGGTGTCACTTTGCCTTGTTTTGTGCATATTTCTTGTGTTTCTGTATTGGTGTATGTGCCTCTGAGGCCAAGTCATTGACTGGCAGTTTTAATCACCTATATTCTTTTGGTTGGAGCGTTCTCAGTATTCAGGCAGGTCTGTGTAGTGGGGGGGTTGTCATGTGGTTTCTTACCACTGGACTGAGGTATAACTAAGTAGCCAAACTTTTGTCTGTGTGCTCCAACACAGGCCTAATCCATGGCTCTAATCAGATAGAGAAAACCAAGTAAAGTCTCTTATAGTTCCTAGCTTGTGGCTTGTTGCTGTATTCAGATTGAGGGTGGAGCCAGTTAAGGGTCAGTTGTCTACTTCCATGCTGCTTTAACTACAGAAGCTTCCCTTTTTTGTGTACTGGAGGATGATACTGGTCGCATGGGACTTTGTAGTCTGTGAGACAGGCAGGTTCCCACTTGCTTCATGGGTCTCCAGTTTGTGCTCCCAGGGGCAGCACACACATATGCCTAGTAGTGTCCTTCAAATACATCTGATAGTAGGGGAAACAAACAGAGCATTGAGTTATGCACTGGTGTGGTTAACTGAGGGACTTAGGTGCCTGCCTGCAGGTGTTAAACCCAGCAATTCTTCATTCTGTGGGAGGCAACAGGCTCAGGAAGTCATGTGATCCCCAGTTCTGTGTTCAGAGTTTCTTCCATGTTTTCAAGTCCCTTGTGTAGCTCAGTCTTGAACAATAAGTAACTCCTCTCTCAAGGTAGCACCTTGCCATAGATAGCCTACCATGCTGATGGAGTCACTGTCCAACCAAATTCTTGCACTGGGTTTAAGGCTTGCAGGAGGTGTAAACTTGTTCTTCAACTGGATCTGCTTGTTTGTCACCAAGACCACCTACCTTACCTTGTGGTAGAGGCTGCAACTTCCTCTACATGGGAAAGTCAGGGCTGGAACTGCAAACTCTTTCCTAATTTGCTCTGCTTCCTCTGTTTCTCTGTGCTTTTTCAGCCATACTGTCCATCTTGCATGGCTCCCAGTGCTCTTCTTTCTATCTTCCAAATATATCCTCTCCTTTCTTACCTTGACTTTTCTCATTCACAGAGTCAGATAGAGAAAGCTTCTACTCTGCCATCTTTCCACACTCACAAAATGAGTTCTTGTTAAAGATGTAATTGAGTATCAGCCGTCTTATCTGGTCTGAACAATAGTAAAATCAACTGGCAAATAAAATGATGTAGGCTCCAATTTGCTGTAAATGAGGTAAAGAAATCATAGGAAAGTCTATGAATGCACACAAACACAAATATATGCACATTTATGGCATATGAAATTAACGTATGCTGTGCAAAAATTTAACGTAATACATTATTCATAGGACATAAAATAGTATGTCACCAAATGAAATTTATTTTGCCACACTGTCTTATTTTTGAGTAATAATTATTCATATATTAAGTTGATTAGTTTACTCAGGCTATGACAACAAAATATCACAGGATACATGGCTTAAAAAACAGAAATTCTGTTTTCTCACAGTTCTGGAAGTTGAAAGTACCAGAAGGGTCCAGGAGGGTCTGTCTGTCTGTCAGGAGGGCTCCTCCCTTTCTGGCTTGCACACAGCCAGCCACCTCCCTTCCTAGGTGTGTGCTTGAGAATGGGGTGGAGGGAAGCACCTTGGTGTCTCTTCCTAAAAGGTCATGACATCTATTAGGTCACATTTGATTATCTCACTTAACCTTAATTAGTTCCTTAGACACACTGCCCCTGAACATATCTACTCTAGAGTTTAGGGTTTCAACATAAGAGTTTGGGTAGAATACAAGCATTCAGCCTGAAACATTAAGCAAAGTTGGGGCTAAGTGATAGCTCAAAGGCAGTTTCTTCAGTGTTTTAGTCAGCAGCACAGCCTTGTCAATCAGTTGCAAAGCAGAGGTATTAATCTATAATAGAACATCTAGCCTAGACTTTTGTATTCCTTAGAAAAGCTGTATGATCCACTGAATTTCATTTAATATGGATAGTGGCACAGAAGTGGGAACATCAGGTCTTCCTCAGAAAGGCAGAAGAGTGGAGTAGAGGAAGAACTAGTGTGGTTGCTGAGCCTTGATCAGCAGAAGCATGAAATAGTAAGGGCAGTTGGGAGAGTAGAAGTCTGGAAAAGTTGTGATGCACTTGTCAGTAGGAAGAATCCTATGTATCCAAAGCAATGTAAGTCTGCATACACTAGAAACACCTGCCCAGCCATGTTAATAGCAACACCATTCATAATATACCTTCAGCCTAGGTGCCCAACCTTGGGTGAATGGATGAAGAAAATGTGGTACATTACACAATGGAGTAATTTTAATCCTTAAGAAAAATGAAACTTATTAATCTGTAGGAAAATGAATGAAACTAGAGATCATCATCATAAGCAAAATAAGCCAGACTGAGAAAGGTCAATATTGCATGTTTCTCTCATATGTGAAATCTAGACCTAAAAAAAGCATGGATGTAAAAGGGGGACTGTTAGAGGAGCAGCAGGAAGGGGAAGGTGAAAGAAAAGGGTGGAGGTGATTATGACAAAAATGCATCATATTCTTGTATGAAAATAGAATAATGCAGCCCATTAAACTCTTTTAAAAAGGAGGAGAGGTGGATTAAGAAAGTAAGAGGGGTGAATATGCTCAAAACACTTTATATACAGGCATGGAAATATCAAAATGAAACCCCTTTGCACTTTTACTTCCTACCAGTCTGTGGGGTGCTCTGTCAGAGAGGGTACAGGTTTGCATTCTCAGTCACCTGGTACATAGGAAGGGCTAAACCAAGGTTTCTTGAGTGAATGATTCATATTATTCTATAATATATTATAATTCTATTATAATTATATATATGTTCTATTATAATTATTCTATGATTATAATTCCTGAGAAATTTCAGAAGATAAAATAGCCACAGGTGCAGATAGTCTCTAAATTATATTTCTATCCAGCTCAGCTCCTACTGGCATGAGATTTCCTTTTTCACTTTCTTTTTTCTTTCTTCTTTTTTTCAGAAAATATTCTTTCTGTTCTTTATCCCTAGGCAGAATCTTTGTTTACTTCAGAACGCATGGTCTAGTCACTAGCATTTGTTTAAAGAGTGAAGTAATCAAATCCTCAAAGCAGGGCTGTTTCATTTACTTACATGATATTCCAGAAGTTAATTGTTCATCTGTTCCTCACTAATTTTGAATATCAAGAGTTAAGTGAGTGTTATTTGGTCTTGTGTGCATTTTTACTTAATTAATCATTCATCAATTCTCCTAGGAAATTTAGATAATTATTCAATAATGAAATAGTTTCTTTGTTTTCCTTCCAGATAATGTGAAAGACTATAATAAATTAAAATGGAATCTGACTACTCCTTTCCACTATGGTAATGTTTACAAGTTATCATTTTTATCTACATTATGAAAATTATGCAATATTATCTAAGTGTAATTACCACGCTTCTTAAGGATATATCAATATGAAATCAGTTGTGTGGTTTGACAGTTCTAGAGTAAAAAGAAAAGCAAAGTCATTACATTTCTTCCACTAATGACAACTATGAGCAACTGTTTTGCCCCCTTCCCCCACTCATCTATGTTTTAGATATGTATTCTGAGGAATGCTTTTCAAATGGAACCAAATTCTAGAACAGAACCAAATTTCATGAATATTTTGATTGCTCAAATTAGATTGTTTGAAGCCAAATCTTGTGGTAGGGAGGGGGAAATGCTCACATAAATCCATGTTTTCTAGAATATGAGCATTTTGCAGGATAGAATAACCATGTGGTGATTTTATTCAATATTTTTACCCACCGTAAAGTGCAACAGAACAACAATGGTTTTGACTTGTCCCAACAAACTCACTATAAGTTATATAGTTCAAATGCAATTTCTAAAGACTTGTGGTTTACATTTGAGGAACTTGGACCCAGAGATTTTTATCCTGGGGCTCAGTTTTGGCCCTTTGCATTTCCCATCACTCTGGATCACAATCTGTGTCCAGGGTAGATGAAAGATGATACCAACAGCCCTCCCCTCAGTAAATTCGTGTTTACTCTAAAAAATGTAATATTTGCCAAAAATAACACAGTGGTACACTGTTGTATTCTTCTCAGACTTCTCCTGGTGTTTTGCAGAGTCTTTAAAGTTGACTTTCTGTTTATTTATCCACAACCTGGGTCCATCATTGCTTTCAGGATTCAAAGGGATCTGGTCCTGTTTGGAAGTGACAGAGGCGTGTGTAGGCGATGCATTCTGTAATGCACAGTTGGCCCCTTACCTTAAAGCATGCTCAACAATTGAAAATCTGTGTGATGTGAAACACTGCCAAACAGCCATACGGTTCTTCTATCAAAATATGCCTTTTAACATTGCCCAGATGTTGGCTTTTTGCGACTGTGCTCAATCTGATATACCTTGTCAGCAGTCCAAAGAAGCTCTTCACAGCAAGCTATGTGCAGTGAACGTAGCCCCACCCCCTACTTGCCTCGGTGTAATTCACAGCTGCCAAAATGATGAATTATGCAGGTGAGTAAAAACATGCATACCTTACTTTCTTATTTTGGCACCTTATTTGTTATAGTCCAGTCCTAACACTTGATCCCATTACATTAGCTAGAGTTCCCACCATCATCCAATGTGGTGTAAATAAAGCCAGACAAGTCATATTTTTGAATCTGTGTTACATGTGTAGATCCTTTTTGAAATTCAAATGCGAGACATCTATTTAGAATAAAGGAAATCAGGATGTCAACATTTAGTGGCCATGAAATATTATTATTGAAACTATATATTCAAGTTGAACCAATGAATTGATTACTAGTCCAGGATTGTATATCAGCTTTAAAAAAATTTTTTTTGGTGTGGTTGTATAAAGCTGTTAAACATGATAGAATTTTAATAAAGTGACTCTTTTTTGTTGTTGTTTTGGCATTGTTGGAATTTGATCTGAGAGCTTTGCATTTACTAGGCTGATGCTCTTCCACTTTCCAGTCCTATAAAGTGACTCTTCAGACTTCGAAATAAATTCTTTCTGTCTTGTGCTAGAGAGATTGTGAAAAGAAAAGCAGCTGAGCATGGTTTGGACATCCACAACACACATCTGCCACAATGTTAGAAATGTACCCACTCTTCTCTTCCCATTCTCACTCTGGATTTTTGGGGTACTAATGTTAGAGATTTATTTGTTCATTCAAAATATGACATCATTTGCAGACAGCCTTCTGCACATACAGTATTTCTGAGTTTCCATATTGAACAATGAGTTTTAATGCAGGGCATGAACTCATTGCTGCAGATCTTGAGGAAGTCTGTGAGTGACTCTGAAGTGCACACGTCTCCAGTAAACGCCTCTCGGTACCAGCACCTTCTCCCATTGACTGGTGCCCACTTCGTGACGTTCCTCAACAAGGACTCTCGTGTTAACTCCTGCCCCGATGTTCGATGTAAGGTCTTGAATGGGACAGGCATGCAAACCATCTCAACTCCTTTCCCTCTACATTGAAAAGCTCTGGACTTAATTTTTACATTTCACACACATATCTCTTCTTATGTAATTTCTGCCTTCTTAAAAATTAGTTCAGAGAGTAAGGACTGTGTGTCTTCAATTTCCTTTTCCCATTTGCAAATAGTCCCTTAATGAACATTTCCTGGAGATGATGGAAATATTATATAATGTAGTAATCAATGTGAAAAGACAAATCTTCTCGTTTTCCCAGGCAAATTTTGCCTTAGGGAGAGCTCCACCATTTATATTAAATTATTGTTAATGTAATTCAGATGATAAAAGTCTACAAGTGGAAATCCTTTATCACTTCCTTTTCTTGCAGAAGAGTTTAGACATGGACAACACAAGGTGTCTGGTTTTAAATTCATTATCTATCCTTGTTTCAGATTCCTCAGTTCATCATGGGGTTTGAAGCTCCTTTGTTTTTTAAAAGTTCAAAGTAGGTAATAGAAAGTCCATTTGTAATTATTTCTCTCCCAATACAGATATCCATCAGAAGGTGAGATGTTTTGGCAATTATGTAAATTTAGGGATTTCATAGAAAATTATAATACCTTATGTTTATGCATGTACAAACTCAAAAAGTAAAAAAAAATTGCTTAGAAAAAAATCTAACTAAATTTTAAAAACAAATGACAAGATAACCATTTATGTTAAGTGGTTTGGTATTTTTACAAACATGCTATATATCAGATAACAAGCACCAATGGAATACATTCCACATGCAGAAATTACACAAACCACCTCCTCTTACGTTTTACAAAGTAACAGGAAATTAATAGCAAAAATAAAAACAAAATATACATTTCTTTTTACAAGCTAGTCTTTTGCACACTTCATTGTTTGGACCACAAACTACAATAAAAATTTGGAAACTATCAAGGAAACAGGGTCATGAAAACACTGTAAAAAACCATTTCAAGCCAAAATAAAAGCCATAATTAAAAGTTTAATTACAATGATTTAGTTATTAGTGCACCAGAGTATTTTTTATTTTTATTAAATATTCTTTAGTCCATTGTTTTGACAAAGATTCACTACTTATTTTCTCTATGAAATAACTACTATAAGTAGGTAAGTCATACAATTTAGGCAGTAAAATTCATATTTTAAAAGAACAAATGGCTTTGTCATGCTGACTTATTCTCTATCACCCTCTTAAATAACAATCAATACTTTCAAAACTTATATTTAGATGACATTTTCTATATAACCCTTCATTGCATTAAAGGAACATATTTGTTCTTCTGGCCTAAGAATTATGGTTAGGAAATTGGAAGTATTTCTTTATTTTAAATTTTGATGTACACTAGTTAACTTTCACCATCGCATTAAATAGGATCTTTTAAGATGATGTGAGTAGATTTTTGAAAAATGTGGCGTTTTGCTAGTGCAGAGCTTCACCATGGGGTGACAGTCAGGTGTCATGTGTTCAGAGGGCCTTCCTGCATGTGTGTTGGTGATGTAGTCAAGAAGAGTGAGCTTGATGTGGTCGTCCATGCCTGTAGTCCCCGCACTGAAGAGGCTGGAAGATCACAAGTTTAAAACCAGTTTGTGCTACATAGTGAGATGTTGTCTCAAAAACTAAAAGGGAGAAAGGAGAGGGGAGAAGGAAGAAGGGAGAGAGGAGGGGGATAGAGAGAGGTTGATTTTAGATGATAAATATTAGGTTGAAGATGAATATCCTTCATTCCATTGAGAAAGGTATCTTTATACTGTGAAAGTTTCAGAAATAAAATCCTCGCACGTTATCCAGACTTTTAGTCAAACTATTACTGCACGAGTCAAATTCAAATATGGAGTCAGAAAAGTTATGAGTGGATGCAGTTCCAGTGGATTATCTTGGCCATAAAATAATCTCACAGTGTTTTGCTTCACATGAGTTCTTGCTGTCAGAGAACCTCAAAGCATTTTGTGAATTTTAATTTGTTTGCTTAGAGGAGTGACAGTACATAAGCACTTCCCACTCTGAGGGAAAACTGGCTTGGAAGGCCGTGAGCTTTATTCAAAATTACTTGCTGTGAGTGACTAAATGCTAGCTGCAAACCCACATTAGCCTCCCAAAATGCTAATAAAGCTCTCATGTAGTTCTTACTGCAAATCATCACCCATCAAAATGAAATTATTAAGAAGGGAAAATTCATCCAGGGAATCCCAAATTTTGCCTTGTCTTTTATCACACAAACACAATTCACAAGATTTCTCTCCTTTTTCAACCACATTCCTGTTAGGAGTGTTTGGATGTACACACTTAGATTTCGGCCGTGTACAGTCAGCTGGGTACTGTCACCCAGAAAGCATTTTGTTACGCCAGTCTTTCACCAGGTGAGGGATCATCATATATTAAAGTGAAACAGTACTTTTTAGAGGCTAAGTCCACCTGCATTCTTTTTCTAGGAGGCGCTTTCGAGCATTTCAGTCAAAGTGTTGGCCCCGTGTGGCTGGAAAGTGTCATGAAGATGAGACTTGTATTAGCATGTTGAGTGAGCAGGACTTCACATGTGCAGGAAGTGATGATTGCAAAGCAGCCTACCTAGGTATCCTGGGGACAGCTCTGCAAGTGCCATGCACCTGCAGGACCACTACACAAAGTGAGGAATCTCTTTGCAAGACTCTCCAGCACATGCTTCAAAGAAAATCATGTTTCAGTAAGTTCTCCAGATGAAATTCTATCCTCTCTCTGTTCCTCTTTGTCTCTGTCTTCTCTCTCTCTCTCTTTCTCTGTTTTGTTTTATTTGACTGTACTGTAACAGAGTGGTAATTCAATCCAGAAAAGACAATTTTGTATTTTATATTCCACTGTAAAATCTATTTTCCGATTCTGTTGTGTATTTGCTATTTTACATTTATTGAAAGTGGTACACTTTTTTTAAATTACATGATATGTAACTATTGATTATAATTTGTTGATTTCATTATCAAAAGCATAAAGGTTTAACTTATTAGATAAGTGTATATATCATATATCTGTTACTACATAACAAACCATCCTAGAAAACTGACTTAAAACAATAACCATTTATTTGATCACAATTCTGCAGATTGAGTTTGCATCAACTGGTGGATTCTCCTGACAGTCTTGTCTGGGGTCACTCATGTAGTTTAGCAAGCATTGTTAGCAGCACAGCTTAGCTCTCCTCCATGGGACCTCTTTGGCACTATATCAGAATTCCTATTAACTGAGAACAAATGTGCAGGCATTTATCAAGTTATATTGTAAATATTTCATTGGACGAATAAAATCACATGACCAACTTCAGATCTACTGTGCAAGGAGACTATACAAGCATGTGGATTTCAAGGTGATTTACCAGGGGTCATTGCTTTAACAATCTTCCACATGGGCTGTCCTGACTTATGTAAAATATATTTATCTTTCAATCAATTTTCCCCCTTCTGATCAACCTCTAGTGATAAGATGACAAGTACATTTTAAGAGTTATTACTTACTCTGATTTGGAGATAAGAAAATTAACATTTAGGAATTTAAATAAGTTTTACAGTGGGATTTTTGTATGAATATTATAGAAAGAACTAAGAATACGATCACTGTACTAATTCAAATTATTTCCATGTTGGTGAATGCAAACATCCATGATCTACAACCTCTCCAGGTCCCTGGGCCCCTGGTTATAGCCATCCAGCCTGCAGTCGTATTTCCACAAAGGAAATAATGGATGCTTATTGCTTCACAGAAGCCTAATCTTTGTCTTTGTGCAAAATGTTTGACAGATACATATATATGTATATACATACATACATAATTTAAAATTTTTTATTCTATTTTTCTTTACAAATAATTAGAAGATAGACATTAGGCAGTATGATCAGAATTGTGATTTGTTGTATATTAACTAATAGAAAAACAACTCAGAGTGTATGGTTTAGATTTCAAAAATTTTCTCTAGAATATCTGTAATTTCTTTAGCACTATAAGCACATATTAACTGAAGTCATAATCCAAACAAAATTTCACCATTGTCCATGTTGCATCATACTTTATAAATAATCTTGTTTTCCGTTTAGCATTAACTGTATTTAAAGTACTTATAATAACAAATGGCTAATAAGTCATATTATAGCAGGAAATAGCAAATAGTCAAGTAATTTAATCTGATAGATATAACAATATATTATTTTATATATGTATATAATGACATGATCATGGTTAGGTAGGGGTGGGTATAATAAATGGTTTAGTACATATTAACCGTTAACAGTTATTTATGACTGGGTATAATAAATGACATCCACAAAAATAAATAGATACTGCATGTTGGTAATAACTCATTTTCTCGGGCATCAGTTCATGTTTTCTAATTCTAGTTTCAACCCTGTTTTCTTCCAGGTATTTTTAATTACAGATTTTTCTTTTCATAGTGTTTGGCTACTATAAATAACCTTCACAGCACAAAAAATATTTATGGAGACCAGTAGAAATGGAGGTTTAAAATCTATAACATTAAGGTACAAGATGCATGTTTTAGAAAAATGAAAATTCAAGGCTGTTTCGCCTTTCTTCACTCATAAATAGTAATAAAACTTAAGATTTCAAATGTTTGCTAGTGAACCTAGGCATTTCAAATGACGGGATTATAGAACTAAATGAACCTTAAAGGCCTTCACTCATAGCTCTTGGTATTTTATTTACTTGAAAAACCTTCCAAACAGGACCATAAAATCAACACTTAGGTTGGTTAGCTAAAAAACCTTTGACTCCCGCCCCACTAGATAGACACAGCACAAGGACAGTGTTTGAGGGAACTCTGTCTCCAGCCAGTGCTCCTGGCAGCTCACCACAGCCAGGCACTCTGGCATCTTGGAGGAGACACCATTGTGGCCTGTTCCCAAGACACTTCCGACACTTTCTTCATGCTTCACTTCACCTTCAGAGAGAGAAACGAAGAGAAGCGAGAGGACGGTTAGGGAGCTTTTATTTTATCACATTAACTTAGAACCCCCGTTTCTTCACTTCAGTTGACCTCAGGCTACATATGGTATGTTAACCTTTTCAGGACATGGACGCTGAGAGGAGCACTATGTTCATTGTATCCTGCATTAGTAGCAAATCACGGGGGAGGGAAAATGAGGTGTGCGGTGCAGGTCCAAGATGAATCAGAGTCAGGATGCACCAGAAGACTGTCCAATCAGGCATTGTAAGAAGCATCTTGCAGGTAAGAAGAAAACGCAAACCCACATCCAGAGCAGTTATAAATTCCAGGAAGGAGGCAAAGCTGCCTCCTTCCTGGTGGGAGGGTTATAGTTTCACCGATTTGCTCCTGGCTGCCAACAAAAGGGCTACATTTAGGTCTCTGCTGATGCTGCTGTTGGGATATTTGCCATTCAGTATTCACAGAACCTCGGTTGTTCAGCCTTAGGGAGAGGAAATCCAGTCTGTTGGGCCCAGGCATACCCTGTTCCTTCTCTCCACTGCGTGAGCACAAGGTGGCTGAAGAGAGACCCTGGCACACCTGCACTGGGTAAATCACTAGCTCACCTGGATGTGGAAGGCATTCCCTGTGACAGATACACGAGGCTACGCATTTTCCTAAGACTCGGCAAGCTGCCCACTTTGTGCCGCTACCGGGGATCCTCCAGCATGTCCTTGCCCTCATCTCTTTGTCCGAAATATTTCATGTTTGTTCCTTGCTTTCATATCTCTCACAAAGCAACTTACTACTGACTGTGAAGCTTACTTCTAGCCAATTCTCTTTCCAAACAAAGTAAACCATTAAAGCACCACTTGTGATTTGCCTGCAGAGAGGATTCCCCTTTCCCACTGCGCCCTAGAGACACTTCCAGGCAAGTTTGTATTTGTCGCAGCTGTCCCTTCCCAGTAAGCATTGATATACTGCACTAACCGTTCTTGGAACAAGTGGCTTAACTGATCTGATAATACCCAGCAAGAGTTATAGTTCAAGGAGCAAGCAATCCTTACAGCAGATGGCATGGCCTTGTTCTCAAGGGATCAGTGTTGCAACTCTCCTACTAGAGCTTACCAGACCCTCCATATGCCTTCCAGAGAGTTCAAAGAAGATTAGGTGTCTCAATAAATATTATATATATAATATATATACACACATATGTATTAGACATGCTGCTTTAAGACCATTGTTTTAACTCTGGGTTTAGGACTGGACCATTGGATTATTTTGGCTTTGTTCATTTTGGTTTTCCCTTTTCATTTTTTATTCTATGATTTACAAAGCCTAAACACATTTTTAAGAAATTTCTATTAAGCTTCCACAGAAGCTAGCTGGTTCCCCAATTCTATTGGTAATAATCTTTCTATTATAAATGAAGAGACTGATGATTACAAAGGCAACCTCAAACCAGGGAGAAATATTAATGACACTGAATTTTTGGTTCTCATATCTGAATCATCCTCAGAAATATATAGCAAATTTGTTTGAAATATAAATATTTAGCTCTAACCCCAGAATCAGTAGGCTTGGTGTAGAGCTCAGAAATCAGTATTTTAAAAAAATCATCCAGGTGGTTCTGATTTTAGCCAAGTTTGGGAACTACCACTCTGATCCATGTGTGGGAAAAGTCCAGTCACCGGCCATAGGTCAGAGCCTCATTTCACTCACACCTCTAGTGGAATGAGAAACGTCTGCACTGAGGAGAGCAAGGCAGTAACTAATGGTCAGCAGCTCCCAAGGTGGTCCACTTTACCCCAGTGCCCAACGTAATGATGGTACACATAGGCATTCAATAAATAGCAAATGAGTGAATGAAACACTGTCTACCATATCTCTGTGACAGGCATCCTTGATTACCATTGCCTTTCTTTCCCATATTAGAACTCTCCGAATAACACAGCTTCCCTATTAAAAGCCTCAATTCCCTTAGTGTTTCCACTTAAACTGGAATTTTTAGTTCAAATATTTAAGGGAAAAAAACAAACAAATTCACTTTAATAAAAACATTTTAAGCCTCCTTTTACTTTCTAACACTTTTCCTCTTTATAGATCTACGTTCAAGAGTTCTGAGTAATAGGAAACTATTTTAGAGTGAGTGTTGTCAACACTACAAGTAACTGATCCTAACATTGTTCTCAAATGGGTGCATTCCCTTAAAGAGCAATGATATCTCTATCAGTTAATATAAGGAAGAACATTGCTCCCAACAGATTTGAACAACTAGCTGGCTTTCATGAAATATTAATGTACAATGCCCTAAAAATGTGTATAGTCTTAAGAAAACAGCCCTTCCGATTCTTCTATGTTTCTACCACTTGATTTCTTTTTTATAGACCTACTTCTTCTTCATCTATCCATGTGCATCAGCATAGATATCAAGATACTGGTAAGATTGTTTTATTCATCTCATTTGTCTGCATTCAGTGAATGGATGATTTATTTCTCTGCAGTTCTTCTTGCCTCACAGCATTTCATCTGCCTATTCTCAGTAAAGGTTTAGATCTAAAATAGCATTCCATTAGTGAATGTTTTTATAGAAAATCTTTTAAGCACACCTATTTATGTACAAAGGTGCTTAACACAATCATTTTTTATGCTTTCCAAACTGCATAAAATCTTAAGGTTATTTTGAGAAAAGTAATTTAAAGACTGTGAAAATGAATACAAGCTCAAGGTGTCTGTCTAACATTGTCTTAACTTTTTATTGTCATCTGTTCACTGGC